CATTGAGGGCAGCAGATAAATTTTGGATTATTTTCTGCCCTCTTCGAAAAATACACGAGAAAACCCCAAATTCTGCAGGGGGTCCCACATTAGTCGCCTTTTACGATACACACGCAGTGGGATATAGTTAGTTGATTTGTGGTTCCTTCTATACCCCTTGGACAGATGACAAGTAAGAAACAACCCCCGATTCTGAAGAAGGGGGATGAAGGATGTGAACCAGATTACAATAAGATTAACATGGATCCTCTGCAGACTCGTGGGTTTCCTTCTGTGTGTTCTGGTGAGGGTTTATGGAAGAGACCGACCATCGGCCTGTTGTCTGCATTACAACACACTGGTTATATATTTTTTCCTTTCTGTCTTTCCTCCTTTTTTTCCGGCTGATGTTTCCCTAAGCGCCAGTCTTCACATGACCTCATCTGTTGCAAGGACGTTAGAGAGACCCACATGAAGAAAGGTTTTCACCATACCAACACGTGTTTCTAATTATATACAAGTTAACGTATATCCATTACAAAGTAAGTAAATATAAAATACTCTATAACTATATTTTGACTTTTGTTTCTCACTTCGAAGTAGTCAATGTATCAATTATTGCAAAGTTCACATAAATCAAGGGAAATTACAACGCTTGTTTTTGATGACGTTCGTGATGAAGTCAATCTATATATTTAATTCCATTTTTTGTTCCATTCACGTAGAGCATTGGAATGGGATAAAGGGTTGGTTGTTACTAGATTGTGATGAAATGGATCCCCAAATTCTATAAGATACTAATCAAATGACAATCCACCCTTCACTTATTCATCATTTCCAGTTTAAACTTTTCCACATAGCCGCAAAAAATACAAGTACTTGAACAAAGCTACCTAAACATTCTTTCCCACTTTGTTAGCATTATCTTCCCGTTGTTGGTCAACTTGGTATTTAACATCTACAATATGATTTTATCTGTATATTAGAATTTGAGAATACAGCATTTAGGATCACATTCGGTGTGAAGCTCTCAAAAAAAACGGTGTTCGAAAGCACATTCACATGTATAGAAAAGCGTAAAGGCTAAACGTGAGATCGTAGGGGTGTCGTAGTGGAGTTGGTATATATACTGGCAATGATACAGTGTCCTCGTTTCTCATAACGTAGGGGTGTCGTAGTGGAGTTAGTACATATACTGGCAATGATATAGTGTCCTCGTCTCTCATAACGTAAGGGTGTCGTATTGGAGTTCGTACATGTACTTATACTGGCAATGATATAGTGTCCTCGTTTCTCATAACGTAAGGGGGTCGTATTGGAGTTCGTACATGTACTTATACTGGCAATGATATAGTGTCCTCGTTTCTCATAACGTAAGGGGGTCGTATTGGAGTTCGTACATGTACTTATACTGGTAATGTTATAGTGTCCTAGTTTCTCATAACGAAAGGGTGTCGTAGTGGAGGTCGTACATGTACTTATACTGGTAATGATATAGTGTCCTAGTTTCTCATAACGAAAGGGTGTCGTAGTGGAGTTCGTACATGTACTTATACTGGTAATGATATAGTGTCCTAGTTTCTCACAACGTAGGGATTCGTACACATACTTATACTGGCAATGATACAGTGTCCTTGTTTCTCATAACGTAGGGGTGTCGTATTGGAGTTCGTACACATACTTATACTGGCAATGAGATAGTGTCCTCGTTTATCACATTCATACATGTATTTATGCTGGCAACACATTACATTTAAAGAGTTTATGGTGAGATTTATTACATTGTATTTTCTAATAACCATATTATTACAAACTGATTGACATTTTTAGCATAAACAAGTAAACTACAATATCTGAAAGAATTATAGAAAGTAAATATATTTAATCTCCGGTTTTATTCATTTTCGCAATTGTCCTTCAAACGACATACCTATGAGGATATCAATTTGGGGAAGGAACAACGACTACAATATGTTTCTTAATTAACGATGTCTGAAGAAATGGTCGTCAAATTTGTGCTACACGCTTTTAATGCCGATTGTAAATGTTTATTAGTTTATGTTTATTTTATTTTTTGTTTTTGTTGTATTGCTTTTTATTGGGGCGGTGAGACTGTTGCTTGAACTTCTACGCAAGCCAACAGCGAAAGCTGAAAGATCAATTTTACAAAACCAAGGAGAAGCGGATTAGGGTGAATACCCCCATTCTGCAAGGCCACCACCCACATTAATCGTCTTTTACGACAACAGAGAGCCTATTGTGTGTTCGGGCTTGCTTGGATCTAACGCGAGTACATGTATGTCACGTGATAAAATTGTATATCAGTATACAGTGTATCCTTGTACCACCATAGGATAGTACATTTTCCCCGTCCTTAGCCAAGGACACTGATTTCTATACCGATCAACAACTGTTTGTGATAACCCCGATAACTGACAGTGATATCGGGATAGCTGGCGTATCTTTATATCCGATTATAACAGGCGTGCTGCGTAACACGAGTTGCACATTATTATATTTAGAAAGACGGTCTCTGTAGGTCATTGTTACATAACGGACGGCATACATAACATTAAACTGATAAAAAAAACATGGAACGTGTTCAAATTAAACTGGGTTGATTGAAAATTACCTCATCATTATGTGACGATGATGCAAACGATAGTTCAAAACTAGAAGCGGACTAATACACTTTGCCTGCATCGAAACTGTAGTTTCGAGAACGTTTTTTTAAACAAAGGAGTATCACTCCATTAAAAAGGGAAGGTACCTCTAATTTAAATCCGTGCTGCATTTTGGGAGGATAAATGGAAGTGCAAACAACTTTTTTACAAACACAGGGGCATATCTATTAAACAGTTGAGGTAACCCCCATTTTATATAATTAGTGACATTCCTCGATGTAATGATTCCGTGTACAAAATATCGTTCAAACTGCAGTAATTTGGAAGGATTAATGTGAAGAAGGTGTCATATCTCCATAAATGGGAGATAACTCCAATTGATTTCAGTGTAAGTGCTTTGTGTACCTTGTAATCAGTGCGGTTCAGTCGTTTATGAAGAGTAGTAAGAACACTCTTTATTAAAGGGGGGAAGAGGGAGGGGCGCAACTTACTTAAAACGGCCAAATGAATTCAGTTTATATACGATATCATCATCCCTTGTGTGTACCAAGTATCCTTTAGTTCGGTGCAGTATTTTATGAGGAGTAGTAAGAACAAGGATTATCAGAGGGGGAGGGGGTGGGGGTACAACTCACATAAAACGGCCAGATAAATCCAGTTATATAACATATTATCATCCCCTGTGTGTCTTTTGTGTACCAAGTATCCTTTAGTTCTGTGCAGTATATTATGAGGAGTAGTAAGAACAATATTTATCAAAGGGAGAGGGGGTACTACTCAAATACAACGGCCAGATAAATCCAGTTAATAAACCATATCATCATCCCCTGTGTGTACCAAGTATTATTTAGTTCGGTGCAATACTTTGGGAGGAGTAGTGTGAAGAATGTGTCTCAAGTTGTTGATAGGACGATAAACCTCATACAACCAACAACATCACAATGTAAGTGTTCTGTGTAACAAATAGCATGCAAATCAATTCGGTACTTTGTAGGAGAAGTTATATAGCTTCATTGCATTGAGAGGTACCCGTAACACCACTGATGTATTCATATCACATCACGTGTACATGCTATTCCAACCTGGATATTCTGGTACATTGTCTTGTGATGCAATCATTTTGTTGTTTAATTCTGCTATCCTGTCTAATCTGGCCTGTCTTGTGTGCACAACAAGGTGTCGAAATATACAGGTATCACTGTGTGTGTTACCTGACCCTCACTCTGTGTTAAATTCCGAGTTCCGCGCTTCTGACAGAAAAAAAGATTATCAATGGTAATGAATATTGGATAAATCAATGACGACGTATTGAATAGAAACGGAACAGTTAATAAAAAAGTTCTTAATTATCAAATTGTATTAAGTTGAAAATTCAAATCTCGTAACTAATTTTGTTTGTTTGTTTTTTGTTTTGCTCTGTTTTTATACTTTTTTTACGGGTTGTCGACAAGTTAACTCATTTTCGGCTAAAAACGATATGACATGAACGCAAATATGAATATAACGTTTTACTATTTCTACAACATATTGATTAAGGTAAAATACAAGGCTGTTTATCATTTATAAAAGGGAAGTATAGCTTCTTACCTGTATATACGTGCAGTGAAAGATAATTCGAATACAATTTTAATTTCCCCCCTTATTTTGCTAGCCAGGAAGACATTTCTCATTTTCGTAGAAATTATAAAAAATACGTATACAATGTCTGTATGATGAGAGCCAGTTAATTTCCTGTATTTATAAAGCATTAATAAAATTTGTTTATTATTTTAACGCATATAAATACTGATTTATACTTAACAACAGTATGAGATTATGGAGTAGTATATCAATGCGTTTCGATAGGCTTTAAAATCCCTTCCCAACTACATCCATAATCTACTCCTCCGGTTCCGTCAGTCAAATAATACTTGCAAATATCATAACACCAGTCTCTTTTTCATAATTGCAGCAGTTGTCTTTCAAAATTTCCGTTTATTGGTCGTATTAATTCTGACCCATCAGAAAACCAGTCATTTAGGAATAAACGACACTAAAATTAGATGTTCGCAAGAAGTGAAGGAATACATACTTAAAATAAAAAGTTAAAATGTTAAAATAAACACCAACACCAATAGCAATATAATTCGTTATAAAACAGGATATTTTTTTCTGTATAAATCAAATAAACGCAAATAATCATAATAATGACAAAGAAACTGAATCAAACCAATTTTTCATAGTTGGAACATTCTAAGGTAATCAACTATAATCATGAAGATACTAGGAATATCAGTTAAATCGCAAACAATACCGTTCCTACTTTTATTTTCAAAGACAAAATTGTTTAACAGACAGGCGGAGGCGTTCTGGAAACTATTTCTTAAAAACAACTCGGAGATCTAGAAGTAATTTGTATTTATTTTAATTGATTTGTAATACTCGATACATAGGAAAGCATGTACTTACAAATAATAACACTATAATAGGAAGTAGGATTTGTACATGGATATATGTCGATGGATAACTGGCCCGTTCTCACATTAAGGTTTTTATTTGGCAATGGCAATGTTAAATGGCAATGCAGCCGGCGACCAAGAGTAGTCAGTTCAGAAGAAAAACCATGTAGACAATTAAAGGGACTGTTATGATTAATCTAGTCTATCACTTTTATTGAGCCTAAAAATGGAAACAGGATAATCCAATATTGGTATTTGAACTGTATCAAGACCAAACATAATCTGATTCCGTTTTCTTAATAATATATTAAGTAACAAGGGCGTAGCGTCCATAGCAAAAATGCATGGGCTAACACATAAAAACCTTTGTGTGACATATGACAAAGCAGTACCCAGTAAAAATTAAAAACAAAAGATGACGATATGGCATCAAGATAATATCATAATTGCATTTAATAATTAATAAATACCCATAATACTATTCCGGAATATATCTCGGATACCATGTCTTTTACTTCTGATGTTATGTTATGGCCCGGTAAATTACAAACCTAAGTACTTAAAAAAGATAGATACGTTATTTATACCCGAAACAACTGCTGATACTGTTTCAAAAGATGACACAATTTCAGAGCACCACTGGACGGAACAATGATCAGTCCTGATTATACATGTATTGCAATTTTCAGTTCACAGTAATAATTGAAAATATGTGTTGTGACCATATAGGTAAACATGTGATTATCATGCATGCGGTTACAGCTTAGTAGAAAATTGGGTTTCTTCCTCTTTTATTTTATAAACTCCACCATACCGACTAGTAACATGTTTAGTCACTATTACCCCTACAATGTAAAGCAAAACTAGCAGTGCACCCTCTATAGCAAAAAGGTAGCCGAACCAAATTGTAGCGACTTGTTCCATGAGATAGCCAAGCAATAGAGGATTTAAGGAACTACCGACCATTGCAGATATGAAAAATGCGGACGAGATTTTCCCCGTCACCGGTGTAAGGTATTCATTCGTCCAACTAAACAGTAGGGCGAACAGTACCGATTTACCATACCCAAATAAAGCTACGAATATCCATACGCCCGTTTCAACCATGTATAGAGAGACGAACAGAAACCCTAGCAGTGAGAAAAACATAGCACAGCTGTGGATTCCAACGCAGACCAAACTGTTCAACCATTTAGATACTACGAGATACACAAGTCTGGTCGAAAGATTGAAAATGAATAAAAGTGACGTCACTAATGCCCCACTAGAATTTGTCCAATGAAAAAACGTGTTACAAAATGTTGATAAATATGCTATAAACGCTTCGTCGATGGCGTTAAATGTAAACAGACTTGCACCTATGATAGACAACGCGATAACTTGAGTGCGTTTTGGTAAATGTCTTGTTAAACTCTTTTCAGAAATATCTGAAGGCACGAGAGAACCATTCTCTTTTTCTCTTTCGGGCAAAATTGTATTAAAAGTAAAAAATGAAAGAGCGGTTAAAAAAGATAAAACTGCTGTAATAGAAAATGCTATGTAGAGTCTAGTGACAGGCTGCGGTTCATCTTCGTTATACACCAATGACTTATTTTCTATAACATTCCAAATTGTTGAAATATTGTAGGGAAAAGAAGTGTTGATAGGATACGATACATGCGTAGACTCGAGACTCTGATCAAACGTTGAGTTAAGAAATATGCTGCCGTCCGTTGCATTATTTGTTGAAGTCTTATTTTGGCGGGTTTCTGCTAGAAATGGTCCAGTTGCTAAAGGCGATATCACACTTCCTACTGACAGGGCAAAGTTCATTCCCAGTATAGCTGTCCGTCCGCCCTCTGTTCCCCATATCCGTAAGATTTCTGCATTGCCACCTGGAGTAAAACCACACAAATATGTATCTCAAATGAAACCCATTATTCAAATACATGTTTTCAATTTTTAAACGTTGTCCATTTATTATGATGTATGCTTATTATGTTGACATGTATATCAAGGACGGGATTTTATAGGCTAATACTACTGAAATGATACACGTACATGTTACCAATACTATAAGGTATGTTTTACATATGAACGTGTACCTAGGCAGACACCACCAGAAGAGGAAAATAGATAGAAAAGAAAGAAAATAGGAAGGAAAGTATGAGAATTACATATTGTAAATTGGGTAATGAAAGAACTAGCCTCGTCTATCAACTATCTTGTGAGATAATATCGGTTACTTACTCGGTTGCCATACTAAAATGTCACTGTTTCAAGTTGGTCAGGCATAAGTTCGAAAATTGGTGTGAAGACGGCAATTTCTGCTATTTTTAACCTCAAACTGATTGGTCCTTAAACTCGTTAGTTTTTTTTCTAAATTTAAAGAGCCAGGCAAGTTTTATATTACATTTTGTATTAAAGTAGAAGATGGCGTATTGAACAGCTTGAGTACGGGTCGTTGGTATCCGACGACATGATATTCTATTTTAGGGCATATATTATCATATAAGTAGGTTTACTAAATACAAGTATATAGGTTTGTTACTTAACAAAATAGCATTGCACTGACACTTAACTGACACTAAACTACATACATGACATATGTTTGAAGTTGCCCAATAAGGATCCATCCATGTGCCAGCCTACACAACACACATGGAGACACGTCCTTAAATGACCTTAGCGGTTTATAGGACATTTAACAAAATAAAACACATGTCCTCCGCAGTGCCCAACCAGCTGAAATCTGTCAATCTTGATGATGGGCTTAGCCCGAATGATTGGATCAAGGGTAACTGTTGTTATTTATTTTATTTCTTTTCGTGTAGGAGGAACTTTGTGATAGCCAGACAATCTGACAGTTTCTCGATATTATATAAAGTATACTTAAACATTGCAAGACAAGAAATCAGAAAAACAAACAAACATCAAACAGATGTTCTTTTTTTAAATCCATCCAAACGACTCTCATGAAACATGAAATGACCATGTATTCTGGTCATTTTATAAAATCAATGGAGATAGGAACCTTGATTATGACATAGATGTATTGATAGACGAAGCGCTACTACCTGTGGTAAGCCAGGAACATGTAATTTAACAATAGCTTTATATATAGTGACCAGACTACATGCGTCAGTGCATCGGTGGCAGTACATACATAGACAGGTAATGTCACGCCCATTCGTGTGAAATGTGTGCCCTCCTGACATAATAAACTAGGACCGACCTTTGTAACTTATCGTCTTCGCAAAACTAAGGTCATATAAAGACATAGGACTAAGGATACACCGTCGAAAAGATAGAACAGGGAATATAATGTCCAAGTGTTACACTAAGGGCAAATTCCTCAATGACCTTGAAGCAGACAATATGTAGGAAAACTAGAGTCTGCAGCGCAACTTACAGAAATTCATGGATGGTGTAAATCTAATTATGTTAACAAACGTTCAATAGTTTTTTTTTCTTTTTATTAGAACAGTTCAATATGCAGGGTGAAACAATATTACAAAAGAAAAGACATAATCAAGGACACTTTTACTCTAACTTTACGCGAGAGGGCAATTTACCCAGTTTTGGTTTAGTTTTCTTTTGTTTAATTTCCTATTAATAGCTAAAGTCATTTGAGGACGTACCCCCATGTATGTTGTGAATGCGTGCATGTGTATTGGAGGCATTGTATGTTGATGTAGCACGGATCTGATGCCGACTTTATCACGCTATATAGTGCTGTCTTTCACTGAAATACCATGCTAAAGGCACCAAGCAAAGCATTCCGCCCTGTCACATTATACTGACAACGGGTGGACCAGTTGTTGCCGTTCCCCTTAATGCTGAGCGTTAAGCAGGGACTAATCTTTGTAGGACTTTGGTATGTCCCTACCTGGGACAGAACCCATTCCCGTCCTCACCTGGGCGAACGTTCAACATCAAAGCCATAATGTAGGTACTGCTAAGCAAAGCGTATGAAATAAAATGTATTTAAAGAAGGAAGACATTTTAAGATCCGAATAATGCCATGTGTGCAGCAGATTTATTTTGGTACTTTTTGTGTCCCCAAATAGAGGGCACAAAAGCAAATCCCAAATGCAGTGTTTCCACATAGTCGACCCTTACGACACATTCAGAGGGTGACAGCAGGTGTATTCTTTTCTGGGTACCCGACCTGCAGGGGTTCGGGACTATCTAGCTCCAAGTAATAAGCGAAGATATACCTTCCCGTGAACTTTCACGATTAGTTCTGTAAGTAGGTAATGGTCTAATGCAGATACAGGATGTGTCCTAACCTCGATTACTCGAATGTATTAACGCTTATCTTTTTAATTGACTTGATCAAAGAGGAGTTCGACATACATTTATTTTCCGATATTGTTTTCCGACAATTATAATCGAAAGTCAATTAAGTTAGAATAGTTTTCTATGTGAAACGCACTCAAAGTTGACCGGCTATGATATTGCTATCAGAAAGATTGTATCACTTTGGCCGTGACCTGTTGTGCAATACAACGTTAATCACATATATCAGCGTTGGCCTAATTCTACAATACCGATATACCAGGCTGAAACTTTAAGGATGGTTGTTAGAAAGGAAGGGTGTCTATAAGGCCCTTTTTTGGACCCCGGTATATTCGGATTTTCACCTCCTTATTTTGTTCAAAGATGTCCTATTGTATGACATGCGGAAAAACTAAGGTAAAACTTTGACCGAAAGTGGGTTTCTGGGGGTACCAATAGGGGTATTGTAAGTCACAAATATTGTTTGCTGTTTTCAAAATGAGCTTAAAAACCAAAATAATACCATTTCTGTTTTTGAAAACATATATAAATTAGACAGGCATATGTAACAGATTGAAAAATGACAGAAATTCAATCGTCACTTAAAGATTGTTTATAGAAAAAGAAGGATTACATCAGGGGGGGGGGTTGGTCATTATCAATTGAAAAGTAAATTGTTTTCTCAACAATTCCCTTTTTAATTAATATTTTGACTTGAAATTTACAACTTCACTCATTTAAGTAGACTTACATAAATTGCATATTGACTACATACTTTCCTTTTGTTTTATACTGAGTTATGGCTTCTGGACACATCTCAAACTTGGCTTTTTCTAATATCTCCCAATTTTAAGTGAATTAAAAGGTGCATGACTCCCTTTATATGCTATAAGTAAAAGATATCAATTGTTAGTATTGTACATTATATATATCATATAATATTTGCTCAACATCTGTGGCTGAAGTGAGTTCCAGGTCACAATGCCTTTTTACTTAAAAAAAACACATTTTCCTGTGATTCAGAGTACAAGAACCAAAGTGCATCACCTTGCCTAACACCAAATATTTCCTGACAATACTAGTCTATATGAATGTTTGAAGATTAAACAGGATCAGAAGAGTATTCATAGTAGTAAGAGGGGCGTTTGACATGCTACACTGACCAAAAGTTAGATAGTTTATGCTTTGAAAACGCTAAGAGAGACTAAGTTGGTCGTTCAAGTTAATGCTTGCAATTCACAGTTAATCCTCAAGCATTAACTTGAACGAACAACTTTAGTCTCTTTTTGCGTTTTCAAAGCATAAACTATCTGACTTTTGGTCAGTGTAGCATGACAAACGCCCCTCTTACTACTATAAATACTCTTCTGATCCTGTTTAATCTACAAACATTCATATAGACTAGTATTGTCAGGAAATATTTGGTGTTAGGCAAGGTGATGCACTTTGGTTCTTGTACTCTAAATCACAGGAAAATGTGTTTTTAAGTAAAAAGGCATTGTGGGATAAGTATGAAACTTTCAGAAATTAAATATCATCATATCATTAAACTCTATACCAAGTTACATGCTTATCCCCAAATGCCTTGTATGTACAATCAGCGGATAAACATTGGAAATAGGCAGAACATTTGATAAAACAATGAAATCGGTTAACTTTAACGATTAAAGCAGATACTTTCCTTGAGACTAGGAGACTTAAAATTACCAGCAAATCAAACTTCATATAATAAATCAATCATTTTACAGAAGTTGTTGTCGCAAATGCCATTTTTGATTTGTAAGTTAACATTGATAAGTAAAAAAACAAATCAGGACCTGGAACTCACTTCAGCCACAGATGTTGAGCAAATATTATATGATATATATAATATACAATACTAATAATTGATATCTTATACTTATAGCATATAAGGGTGTCATGCACCTTTTAATTCACTAAAAAGTTTGACATGTGTCCAGTAGCCATAACTCAGTATAAAACAAAAGGAAAGTATGTAGTCAATATGCAATTTATGTAAGTCTACTTAAATGAGTGAAGTTTTAAATTTCAAGTCAAAATATTCACTAGAAAGGAAATAATTGAGAAAACAAATTACATTTCAATTGAAAATGACCAAAAAAGACCCTTTGACGTATTCCTTCTTTTTATATAAACAATCTATAAGTGACGATTGAATTTCTGTCATTTTTCATTCTGTTACATATGCTTGTCTAATTTATACATGAACATATTTTCAAAAACAGAAATGGTATTATGGTATTATTTTGGTTTTTAAGCTCATTTTGAAAACAGCAAACTATATTTGTGATTTACAATACCCCTTTTGGTAACCCCAGAAACCCACTTTCGGTCAAAGGAGGTGAAAATCCGAATATACCGGGGCCCAAAAAAGGGCCTTATAGACACCCTTCCTTTATATTGCAGTGATACTGTTATAGGTTAGCTATATAGCTCAAATGTTCTACCTGAAATGATTAATATATGACAGGATTTCCAACCGTGATATTTCATTGTATAAAAAGTATATTATATTATATCATATCATTCGATTAAAAGGTTTTCTTTGTTGGTTACCTAAACATGTTCCTGAATTTGACGGAAGACATCAGCTGATGAGGACTTTCATAGCATATACTTTTTAATTGCTTTGTTTTATTGATATATATTGTCGGACCATGTATAAACGAAAACATTAATTAAAATACAAGTATATAATATATGATTAATTGATCTATTTCACAATTCAGTTGCAATAAATTAAAACTAACAAAATTTGATTACAAAATACAATATAATCGGTTTGTGTAAGAAAATAAATTCTGTATTCCGGAAAACTTTTGCCATAACCTCCAAGTTGTCGTTATGATAGGGTTTGACAATATGTCGAGAAAGCCATATAAAGGAAGTGTAAAATATAGGGGATTTGTTTTTCAAACTCACTGACGGTAAGCGAAGTGACCAATGAAACGATATTTATCACATCTAAATTGTATTTCATACAGAATGTATAACGCATGTAAGGACACAAAAGAAACTAACACTTTCATCTATGCTTACTCATAAACAATAGTCGGATTCTGTAAAACGACTAAAACCGTTGTTATTTTAAGGAAATGCCGTTCTATCAAAGTTTGAATATGAGTTAACGCAGTGTGACTGAAACTAATTCTGCCATTTGTAATACTCTCACCTGGATCAAGGACACCTTCCATAGCCCCCTGTACAAAGTGGGCAGATACCATAGCTTCAAAACGGAAGCACCATGGAATGACAGCAACCGTCGCCGCTAAAATTGACAGACATGCGCAGAAGAGGAGCTTCCTGTTGACTTTGCTGTAGAGGAAGCCTTCTAGGATGGATCCAAACGTATAGCCGATATAGAACGTTGTCACTATCCAGGAACCCTTTTCTATGTCCACGCCGCAGATGAGTCTCAGGTCAGGAAATGAGGGCCCGAACTGGCCCTTTATCCAACCCTTCGACAAAAGAAAGAATATAATAAATAAATGAACGTACAGAAATTGCAGTTATAGTTTATTTTAGTAACTCAGAATAAATTTTGATAAAGGTAAGATTTACTAAAATTAAAGATGATTTTTTGTTATAATTTCTATAAATAATGACATTCACAAAGCGGCTTACGTAACGAAAGCTCCACATAAATAGGATACTGTTGCCATTTTTATTTACAACTGTTCAACAACTGTCGCAAAAAAATATCAATTGTGTATCTGTATGGGCGGATTGGTCGAGTGGTAAACACTCAGGCCTTTAACGCAGGCGACCGGGGTTCGATCCCCGAAGTCGTCGTACGCATGGATATTCAGAGAAAGTATTTTTCTCCTGCCCGCACAACTCCAACATCCCAGATGGAGTATAAATTGGTCTGTGATTGATGTTGCGGTATCAGTGCTGTAGCATTCAAGTGAGGTGGCACTATAAATGATGCCGTCGGAAGCACAGTCCCACTACAAGCAGAACACATTACATCACCAGCACATACGCAGACATACACACATGGGGAGATATTAGCCAGGTGGCACAGGACTAGTGGTTAGCGCCTGATAAGGCAGCTCCTGCGAATTCCTCAAAAATTGTATTGATTAATGTATATGCTAATTGTACTAATTGTATATTTATGTACTGTAAAACTCTTTAGAGTGACTTATGTGGCTAGAAAAGGCGCTATATCAAATATTGTATATTATTATTATTATCTAGAGTCTAAATCCTGACAAAGTGGTCACGCTAGAAAAAGGAAAATCATCATACAGACATACGATTGGAGGCTCGGACAAAGCTAAGGACTTTTATTACGATGTTTTATTTGTTTGTTTTTTGGTTTTTCTTTCTCTTTTTTAGGTTCAAATTGTATTCTATTCCCCCATTATTTGGTTGTATTGGCTTTAGCTTTCTATGAACAGCTAAGGTCATTAAAAGTGTGTGTCTGAATATATTTAATTGACATTGTGATTTAACATAAATGACCACATACTGGCCTCTGTGTTAATGTATTTCTATTGAGATGTTGTCAATGTTTTCGCTTTGTACTGACTATTTCCCCAACCAATCCCGTTTTCCGCTACTTTTTTATATACACAACCAATCACGTTTTCCGCTACTTATTTTATATGCACAACCAATTCAGTTTTCCGCTACTAAATATTTATATTCACAACCAAGATATGAAATGACACATATTTATAGACAGTTCAAGAAATGAGCGTTTTATTCAGGAGGACTAAATATTTAATATAGACTAAAACTTAAACAAACGAAATCTATCTACCTATTTTTTTATCAATGAAATCTATTAAAATCAAAACTACAGTAACTTAATGTCTTGCTATGTTTTCCTATGTACTATCGACACGCATCGACAAGTTTCTACATGCATTTAGAAGAAAAGCAGTAGTCGCGAATTGGAACATGTATAATTATGAGGTTCTGCCTCTTTATAAAATATAGTATGATTATATTCTTTCTGTACACAAATTAAAACGACTGCATATTTGACTCATGAAAACTCACGAAGCGTCACTACGATAACTCATTTGACGCATCAGAGCTTCCTTAAAGCTTAACTACGAAAGAATAGTTTATTATGGAACATTATGGAACAAACATGTCGTGTGAACACATTTGGCGCAAGTGGTCTTTCTTCTAGCGTCACTTCAATGACCTAACCCTAACCCTAACAATGACCGATATAATATCTTTTGCAGCAACAAATATCATTTCACTGCACCACTAAAATACAGCATAAGTTCAGGCAAAGCTGCATTATTAAATATACTACGGTAAATTTTATAGGTGAACATCTTCCGTACTATTGTTGATTTAACCTACTTTTACCGGGTCACTCTGGTCATATCACCACAATTGTTAGAAATACATTTGCGACAAATATAGCACAGGATTACCACACAAAGCACCTATTAAAAGTGAATGCGAAATAACAACAGCGGGAATACAGGGTATGTAACAACAAAAGGATCATCAAAACCATGTTTCCATGAATCCATGTAGCCGCGGGTGACCTCTATACTCGTAAGAATTGTACCTGCTGCCCCCAATTGCATGATCGTAAGAGGCGACTAAATTTGGGACCTTATCTCTTCTCTCCTTTCTAAATAACTTTCTTCTTCCTAATGTCTCCCTTGACAATGCCTCACTTTTGGCCATTTGTTGAGCGTTCGCCCCTGTGAGGAAGGCTTTGGGTTCTGTCCCCTGTCCGAGACATACCAAAGTCTTTAACAATGGTAGTTTCTACTCCTGCTTAACGCTCAGCAAATTAGGAGTGGGACGACTGGTTCGCCCGTTGTCAGTATAATGTGCCCGGGTGAGGCGTCCTGCTGGGTGTCTTCGGCAGTATGTTTCAGTGAGGTAGCACTATAAAGTCGGCATCAGTTCCGCGCTATCACAAGGAGATAAACACGAACATATCGCAGCCTCCCAAAATACACACGCATACACTACACGCATGCATCTTGCACACAGGGGAGGCCGTCCTTAAATGACCTTATCTGTTAATAGGACGTTAAACAAAATCAAACAAACAAACAAACAAACCTCTATACTCCCGTAGAAATCTTTTCGTGCACTATTTCATTGTAACTCTTTCCGCGATCTGAAAATTGGTCACATATCTATTTTATGTCCGTTTTAAATTCTGCAGATAAGGTTGTGTTGGTGCAAGCATATTGAGTGCATTGTGTAATAACACAATGTGTTAATAATGCAAAAGAATCGTGTGAATGCATACATATAAATAACGATCGGATAGGCCATCCACGTACGGTCTAATGTACTATGGTGTTTCCATATTGATGTTGGAAACTTCTCGGCAATGTGACTGTTTCCGCTGCTAATTGTTAACATACACATTTCAATTAAATGAATTTATATACACATAAATGGTCATCCCTTTTGGATAATAATTATACTAACTTGCAATTATAAAGATAGGAATGGTGTTTGATCCTTCACAATTCTTCATCCCACGAAGGCTTGGGTTCCGAGGGATGTTAGATTACACAGTTATGTTTATACTTTACCAATCTTTAAATAAATAATTAGCGCTATCTTATTGCATTTTTACAGAAAACAACAAATATTAAGGAGAGAGAGAGAGAGAGAGAGAGAGAGAGAGAG